CAAAGTAAACAAACAAACTTATGTTTTTATGTTTTTCGGAGGTGGATCGTGGAGTAAGTGAAATCCTAGACAGGTGAGAGATAGGCGGGAGAAGCTGCTTGAACTGATCGAGGCTAGGGCCGGGAGAAATCTCTTGCATCCGGGGAGCGTCTGAGGGGAAAAAGAAAGGACCAACGCAGGATGCGAGGTCCTGCGGGGAATCACGAAGCTGTGGAGGGGCTGAGATCGTGCAGATGAACGGATTGAACGCAGCTGGGAAGCGTCTGACGGTTTGGGTGTGGATCCTTTTATGCAGAGCCTGATTGCTGATTGAACGTGCAGGGTGAGGTCCAGACTGAGGACGGGGATGAGCATGACGTCGATGGATGAACGGAGGGGGCGGAGTCTTCCAGCTTGAACTTCTGCTAAAGCTCCATATTAACACAATACCCTACAAATTACAATGAAATAATGCTACTTCCGCTAACCGCCGGAAGTAACACCCATAATTGTTTCCCCAGTAAGGCCCCCAGGAATAAGGTCAATAGGTTCCACTACAGGCGCTGCATGACACATTTGGTGAAATATTTTTTTAAATAAATGTTAGTTTATTTTAATGTTAGTTTATTTTAATATTTGAGACATTACAATCATTCCACTTTTAACACCTCTAAGAAAATTAATCTAAGGCATTTTAAGGCTAATTAAGGCCTTATTTTTAGATTGAAAAATTCAATGCCTTTTAAGACTTATCAAGGACCCACAGGAAGCCTGTAACAGCTTTGCCTCTGAATTGAAGGGAATTATTGAGCAGTTTGTTTTAACGGCCCGTTTATTCTAACTGAAACTGAAAGAACTATTCTGGCTGATAAATGTATTTCAGGATACCACTCCCATCTGCACAAAGGCCACAGAATCAGAGACCGTTACTCCATCACAGTAAACCTGAAAGTGAAAGACAGAGCTCTGTATTATCTAATAAAGGCCAAAGGCAGATTTTAAAAGTTATTGTACTCAGAATCGTACTGCAGTTCAACATGGTCTACATATTATAAAATAATTACAAATTTCATAAATGTAACTCAAACATGCATGTGACCCACAAACTGCTGCCTGTATATTTAAATTGTACTGATTTGTCTTATCTATATGTAGTTTGTTCTTTTACATGCTGCCTGCCTAACATAATGTGACCGGTCTCGAGACCAAGTCCAACTTCGAGTACCACAACACTGATCTCTCACTCAGTTAACTCATATGTTAACTGATGTTCAGTCTTGCACTGTAAATATGATGAATAACCTGAAAATGTCCAATAACAAGATGTAGTGCTGTTGTTTCTACACTGGGGGGATTCTGCTGGCCATCCTGCTGGTCACACCATTTCTGGGAAATGAGTCCGTTTCCCCTCAGCTCTGCCTCTCAGTAATGAATAAACATTTAGGGGAGTGTCTCCCTCACCCAGAATAAGAGGCTGAAGAGGAAACTTCTGTCTCAACACAACACAGGCACACTTCTGCAGTAAGTATCCCTTTTTCTCTTTGGGCTTTGCTTTAATCATAACATAAAAACAACAGTCCTGAAGGTTTTGAGGGCTTTTTTTTTTTAAAGAGGAATAAAAAATACATTTGTAACTGTTTCCACTTAGCTTAAATTTTTAATTTTTATCATAAAAAGTGTGCATATACTGAAAACATCTATTTGTTCACTCATGCCAACTCCACTTTTCAAGGCATTTTAAATATTTTCTTTTTCAACTGTCATTTGTTCTTCATTAGTCAGTCCTCAATTTTGACTGTTAATGTTTCTGCCAGGATTTCCACATGCATTTACAGTAACTGATCATAGACTATTCATCTTGTTTTGGATAATGCTGAATCTGTCATCCTTTATCATTTTGACTGTGTGCCGCCTACCACATCTTTTCAAGAGTTTTATAGTTGTCAGATTTTGGAGAAGTTTTGATCAGATTGTCCTCAAAGTTTTCAGGTTTTTCTGAACAATAGTGTTACTCTTGTGATTTAGAAAACAAGTCTGAGAAGACGATTGACGTGGCGACTCTTGGCAGGCCATTTATCTTGGGATGCTCTACGACTGCCGCCAAGATAAAGTCATTCCTGGTAAAAATTTACATTTTTTATTTTTTCAAATTTATTATTGTAAATTGACATTACAAAAGAAACAAAATGACAGTTGCATAAACAAATAACAGGTAAAAAAATTAATAGGCTGAAGTCGAGGTTTATACTACTGTATTCAATCCATACATCTAAACCAGTGGTTCTTAACCTGGAACCGATCGAACCCCAGGAGTTCGGTGAGTCGGCCTCTGCCGCGGAGGTAAAGACACACTGTGTAAAGTCGTGATGACGCCCCGCTTCGCCATCACTTGGTGCAGAGGATCACGTTACATTGCTGAGCCAATCAGAGCTGCGGAGGAGCACTGATTGAAGGAGTTCCACTCTCATTCTATAGTCTAAATCTGCTCCTTAGTCACATATTTTCGGGGTTGGTACTGCCTCTAGTGGCGTGGGGGAGGTAATACAACTAATATAATTACATTACTAAATCAGAATACCGCAAAGTCTTTATTATTTATTATTAATGTTTCATTCTCTTAAGAATGTAGAGCTAATTAAATGATCTAAACAAGACCTTAAAGTGGTTCCAGTTTCTCTCGATGGCCAACCTGTTGAAACTGTGGCACATTTTAAATACCTTGGGTCGTTCCTGGACAGTCAGCTCAACTTTGCTGAAAATACTGACTATATTTTGAAGAACTGTTCTCAGAGACTCTACCTTTTAGGAAGACTTGGTGATCATGGGGTGACCCAAATAGAGTCTAGTTGGGGCACCCCTATGTCTTGAATTTGGGGCAAAAAATCATATTTTATTTATCACTACAGAAGGGTTCACTGAATGTGCACATGAAACTGGTGGGTTCGGTACCTCAAAAAGGGTTAAGAACCTCTGGTCCAGACTGAAGATTTGACTTTGAGGGTAAAAGTGAGTTAAACTGAACATTCAGCAGAGAGGCAGGCTTCTGGTTTATCAACATTCACAGGGTTTTAATCAACCTCTATCTGTGCAGAAATGTTCTTAGTAAAGATAAAGCAGAGCAACATCAAAAGTATTAGGATGTCCTTGCATTAGAGGAGCAACTATTGATTACTTAGTAGTTGACCAGCCTATCAATATTATTATTGGCTGCTCAGTTTGTGGGGTTATTTTCATCCAGCTCTGCTTTCTGTGAAGTTTCATTTCTTCTCAGTGCTGCTGCAGGTTATGCTGTAACTTTTCAAGCCTACATAGTTATGTAGGTCTCAACATTATCCACAAGTAAAAAAATTTTTTAAGCAACACATTCACATCTAAAATGTAAAAGATATGTCAACAGTGCACTGGATGATTTCAGTTAACTTGGCAGTTAATCTTTTCTTTTTTCAAGTATCAGATGGAACAATCCAACTTGAGCTAATGTACTAAACTCTGCAACTGTCCAACTTGATCATCTCCTAATTCTGGAGACAGAGCTGGTAAAAGAGATAAGAGTGTGTGTGTGTGTGTGTGTGTGTGTGTGTGTGTGTGTGTGTGTGTGTGTGTGCATTTTCTCAGGACCTGGATGGTTTTGGTTTCATTTTTGAGGGGAACTGGGTGGGCCTACGGATGTGCATAAAAGCAGAGAAAATTCAGCAAGTTCTTCCCGCCCTCCCTCACTTTCTGCTGCACTTCAACCTGAGTGGTATGTATCTTCACTGGGTTCAACATGTTTGATATAGATTTCTGTTCTCTAATGCTTTCTCTATTAATATTTTTAGTGAGTGAATACAAACTGCAGAGTTTAACCACTGGACTGAGCAGAGAGAAGCCAACAAAGGTTTGTTCTAGTTTCTGCCCAGCCAGCATGCCTAGGTGGGACCCATGTGGGGGAAAGGAGGGCTGATATATGGGTCCCACATGGGTTTGCCCATGTAGGGCCACAGCCCACATGGGCCCTAAATGGACAAACCCATATGGGACCCATATGGTCTGCCCTCCTTTTCCGCACATGGGGAAAAGGAGACATGCTGGCAGGGTGTCTTCCTCATTTTTGTTTGAAAAAATGTATTACTAAATAATCAGCAATGTCATTGGTGTGAAAACACAAATATGCATCAGGCATACATTTTCTCTGTTAATGGCCTGGTGATGAAAAATCTCTTATTTTAAAAGTATTAAAACTCATCCAGTTGTGATGTTCAGGTTTTTACAGCCTCCATCTTGGATTCACTCTTATATAAAATGATTTAAAATGATGTGACACCTGAAATGTGCATCGCCAAACCATCACCTGGCTCAAACCCTATAGCTATATCTCACATAAACATTATTCAGATTGTGATTTTAATGTAATCTTTTTTAGTGTAAAAGGGGTTTTCCTGTCTCATCCTTTGTGTCATGTTCCGTGTTTCTGTGTGTTTATTTTTGAGTTTCTGTGTAGTCCTGTGAGTCTGTCTCTGTCTTCCCTGTTGATTGCTCCCAGCTGTATCCAGTTCCCTGATTACCTTCCCTGTGTATTTAACCCCACCTGTTGTCTTTGTCTGTGTCGGATCCTCGTCGTGTGATTGTCGTAAGTCAGTGTCGTTTGTGTCACGTCTTGTGTTTCGCTCCAGTAGAACTGTGAAGTCCTGGATGGCGTTAGCTTTCGTTTTTCAGTCCTGTGTGTTCAGTTGCTACCGGTATTTGGCTGTGTGCCTGTCTCGTTGCCGTGCTGCCTGTTTTGGACTGACTGGGCTCATCATTAAATTCATCATCTTCACCATAACCTGGGTTCTCTGCGTCTCTCCTCACCACCACCAAACACACTTCATGACACTTTGTGATTTATGTTAAAAATTTAAATTTTAATGCATAGTGAAAAAATCATCATGCAACAGAGGCTGATTGCAGAAAAAGGTCACACTCTGACATGTCAGCTTTGAGCAACAAAATGTTCTCATTTTAACGGAACATTTAAACCAATCCAGCCTTCGTTGTTTTGTTTGTTTGTTTCTGGTTCTGCTCTGCGCCCAGAACCAAAACCAAACATGTAGAAGTTGCATTTAGCTTCTATACATCACAAATATGGATCAAACTTCCAGAAAACTGCAAAACAGCAGAAATACTGTTACTTTAAATCTAGACTAAAACCCAGCTGGTTAGTGTTGCTTTTGAACCATAAAAATTAAACTTTGACTAACATTTTGATGTGCAGCGATGACACTCGACACAATGTAACGTTTACTGGTTTTCTGTGTGGTGTCTTTTATGACAATTTTTTTTAATGAAGTCAAGCAGTTTGAACTGTCTATTTGTTGAAGTGTGCTATACAAATGAACTTTATTGACTGATTATAACTCATTATAACCTCTGTAAGGAGGTTAGAGAGGTTGTCGCTACAGGTGATCCTAAAATGATTCCATTCCTTTAATCTGCAGACGGTCACAATTTGGGTTAAAACGTTTGACGGCATCCATCCTACATCTAACAGGTAAGAAACCACAGTCTTTACATAAAAACCTTTCTACAATAACCAATTATGAGTAGAAATATGACATAACATTTTACATTACATGCAAAATAAGGCAGTATAGATGTGTGAGCTGTTATACTTCAGTAGATGTCAATGACAGTTTTAATTGTAATCTTCTATCTGGGAGTTATATGGTCCCACAAGGTCTTTGCCAAATGAAACCAAACTCTCTAGCACTTTTTTTTAGCTATGCAGTTTTTGCAACATTAAAACTATCTAAGCAACAAAAGCCTGAAAAGATCAAATTCTCCTCAGCTACTTTAACTTTCCTCCATCCTGACAGATGTTCTTCATTGCTTGAGTTGGCCTGAATGCTAAACATCAGGTTTACTGGGCATCCAAATATTTCTGCCTGAGGAAAAGAGTAATGATGATGACTGCTTTCACCAGTCAGAAGGAATGATGCAGGAAAGCAAAATGTTGCTATAAATGATCAGAGTGCTGCTCTCGCTGAAACTCTTACCCCCTTTTTAAAGGGCTCCAGGCCTGCAAAAGAAAAATAAACCAGCCATATGGTAATTACACACATTTTTCATTTGTATTATTCGTTTTCTAAAAAGGCTCGGGCATACCAAGCTGTACCAGGAAATGCTGGAAAATTTGTAAGGCAGTCTAAGTCAACAAACTTACCAGAAACTTTACTGCAATTCAGATAAAAGAAGAATGAATTATATCCTCCACTACCTGGGGGAAATTATTGCGAAGGACAATGCAGTTTGCCTATTAACTCCTGAAAAAATGTCACAGAAGAACTTTAAAAATCAACATTAACTGTTAAATGATTCTGCATCATGTGACACAGGCCGCACCCATTTCCACCTACCTATATCTTTACTGTGCTTCACCAAAGACAAAACCCAGTTTTGATCACTGGACAGACATGAAACTTGGTATATAAAATCTATTGACTGAGACAATAAAGCAAAATGGAAAAAAATCAGAACAGTTTAGAAAATTATGTAGTGAAGCATCAAACATTTCAGTGCTAGCCAGCATTAAGGTTAATTGGGGGCATCTCCACCAAGTTTCATTACACAACAGGAATTTAGATTCAGATCCTAATTAGGGATGAGATTTTGTCAAGATGTATTAACTTTTATATAGTTTTGGAGACAAGGTGTGTTACATGGGCTAAAATGTTAGCCTGCATAATGACGTGGCAGATTTTCACCAAACTAGTTAGGGATGTTCAAAACCCCTGAGGTCATATTTCTCACGTTTGACATTTAAACTTGATGAAATTAAAAAATTAGACATGCAAAATTGCATTCTCTAAGATTGGTAAAAAAGTTACCGTATTTTCTGCACTATAAGGCGCACCTTCAATGAATGGCCTATTTTAAAACTTTTTTCATATATAAGGCGCATAGAATAGACGCTACAGTGATTTCCCACCCGTCCCGTATTGAACCTAAACGGGACATGATTTGTTCCGTACTCTACAAATATGGATGGGTTAAAGAACTGGTCCCCTAGTACTTTATATAGTCGGCTGCCCCAGTCATTGTTTCACTCACGGTGTTGGTGCTGCTATATTGTGCCCAAATGATTTCTGGGTAACACAGACCAACCGACACACCACCGCAGTCTCCGTCTCTCTTACCCCTCACCAGCTTTAAATGTATAGGGGTTGGTCCCTTGGTAACCCTAGACGAAGCACCCCGGATGAATATCTAAAGCCACTTTGTTGACATAAAGAATGCCAACAAAACAATCCGACTCCGGTCGGCGAGGAGAGCCTTCCTGGGCCGGACGATGGCCACCCTTCTCCATTCGCTCACAGCATGTTGGTGGAGAACCTGGTGCTAAATGACCTGCAGACGACCTGATTCTAGACGGTCGGTAGGTAGATAGGTCAGTCAAACTTTATTAACAAACCAGCGTTGTGACAACTATCCCAGCATGCACCGCGCGCTTCTTCTTCTATGAGCGAAAATGAAGTCGGTGTCTGCTTACCGTAGTTGCTGGACCTGTTGTGGCTCAATATTGGTCCATATATAAGGGACACCGGATTATAAGGCGCACTGTCGGCTTTTGAGGAAATTGAAGGTTTTTATGTGCGCCTTATAGTACGGAAAATACGGTAGTTAAATTTGACCACTAAGTGGTGTTATAGGAAACAGGTTTTAATGATTTTCTCCACAACTGCTAGATGTGGAGGACTACATCACTTGAATCATGCTTAATTGGGCCAATTTTGGAAAACTAAAATGTCAAAATAATGCTAATGAGTAGAAAAATTATGTAATATGCAAAAGTATTTTGGTTAACCCTCTAAAGACCATAATTGTAACTGGGCCGCCTGGTAATTTTCTCATTTTATTGCTGTAAAATTCTCAAAAAATGTGCAATGATTCTGAATTTTTGCTCTTTTTTCCAGAACAACCTCAGCTTTCAGTATTTGATAGTTATTTATTCACCCACATGGCATTTAGTGTGCAAACCAGAGCTTTCCGTGGAAAAACTAAAATTCCAGGTCCTTTTAATGCCACACAAATATGAGGCAGAAACATGGATTATATCTCTATATAGACCTGTCTATTGATTATAGATTAATAGTTTTACTGGACAGAAATTACAAAGAACAAATCTGGTTCTTAATCAAATCCTAATGAGTTAGATTGAAAGTGTCATGGAGTCATCAGCCTCATGACATTAACACTGACATGAAAAATAATATTGAAGAAATAAATATATCAAATCTAATTAAAAACATAAATAAGTGATAAGTTTGTTACTGTTATGGTCTGTAAGATATATTTATTCTCAGTATTAGATGTGGTCTCAACAAATACATGGCACTTCAACTACATTATTTTACCTTTTATCTGGAAATAGTGTCTATTTATTCTTGCCATTCAGTCCTCTGTATTAATTATTGATCGAAAGGTCTTGCCTTACCAGTTTATTCCTCTGTATTTACTTTAGTTTCTTAGTTTATTCTTGCATTTTGTTCTTCATTCATTTAATTTAGTTTCCTTTGATTAGTATTATCCTCTCTTGGTTTATTGCTATGTCCACTTTAGTTTCTTTCCTGTTGCGATATATGATTTATTTTATCGTTTATTGACCATCAGTAATCTTCACTCATCACCTGCTGCGCCGCCTAATCATCATGTTTCACATCATGTGTTGATTTTTCACTGTTCAGCGTCGGATTCTCTGTTTTTATGCCATAATTCACATCTAGTTCGTTGCTCCGTTTTATGTCCCGCTTCTCCTGTTTCAGAGTTTTGCGCAATGTGTACGTCTTTTTTTTTTAACCTCCTAAGATGCAGGGCGGTCGGGAAGCGTATCGACGGGTTAAAGGCACACTGACATAAACCTTTTAAAACAACGGAAACAATTTCTGCATTCTGATTATTGAAATTTAAAAGTGCTGTGGTACCGTTGTTCTATCACCCCCGTTTCATACCGGACCACTTACAGCACCGGTGTTAACTCTATAAAATGAACGCTCTTTATCGTGGTATCACCCATGGAGGGATTTCTTTATTTGAATGGGTTCATTTTTCAGAGGGATACACAGTGAGGTGATTTTAGCTACCAGTAGCAGCAGAACGGAGCTGCGCCAAGAAGCTAACAGAAGCTAACAAACACTGAATAGAAGAAGAGCTGCCATCGATACAGTTGCAGCCAAGCATGATTTAATGTTACACAATACAGTTTTACCAAGTTGCTCAAAGTCTAAACTGGCATTGTTGTGCATTTAAGATGTAAAGTTTACCTTCGACCAAACGCCCCCTAAGGGCATCCCAGCGCCCCCTGCCGTCCTCTGAACGCCCCCTGGGGGGCGGTACCGCCCACGTTGAGAACTCCTAAGTTAGCCAATAGCTGTGCAGCGTTCATATGACTAACGTTAGCTTGTACAAATATAACCTGGTTATATGTCTCTCATGTTCACTGCCTTCAGATATCAGTCTTCTGTATGGAGCCTGTTCGTTATTCTGCAATAGCCAGCCACGCCTTAATCTCACCACCGACTGACTACTGACCAGCTCTCTGTCTAACAGGTCCGGAAAACCCCTGAAACCTGGGTCTTACCCTAAAATAGGTGTACAGGAGATTCTCTGTTTAAACTGGTGGCGGAGAAAACTCGTCTAGCTCTAACTACCTTCAGATCCAGAAGTTACGGCCCTTTTCAGTTGAGAAACAATCGACAGAGTAGCCCTCACTGCCGCATAGCTTCAACAACCACTCCTGTTAACGGTAGCTTTTCTCCTGAAAATAACGTGCACTTGTTATCGGCTAGATTGGATTTAGTGACTTAGATCTAAGTCCCAGGGCCATTATTTTACACTCACCAAAGGAAAGTATGAAGCCACCACATCTCTGGAATCATGTATGTTAACTTTACTAATTATCAGGAGAACCCTTAATTAATCAAACTGACTCAATTAATTTCAATGTCCACAAATTCTATTAATTTTTGACATGTAATTTATTATGCAAGCTTTAGCAGGGGTAAATAACAAGCAGAGTTTCTTTCAGAGATTACAATTCACGACAATATAAAATCGAATTAAAATCAATCATAACCTACTCTCTTTCCTAATCCTATTTGTGTCACCAGTTCCACTAAGCGAGGCTTTTGGGGGGGGGGGGGGCAGTTCAACTCACACCCGATGGCAAATTGATCTTGGCAGCTGAGGTCCTCAGATGTCCTTGGTTAGAGTCTCTGTCCTGACGGAGCAGAATTCTCTTTTCAGAAAAGAAGCAAAGTTGATCAATCCGTCTTCCATTAAACGAACGGGATCTTCATCACTAAGTGACCTTTGTCTTTTCTCCAAGTCCGCCACAGTAAATACGGATCGTTGGGTGGAGGCAGAGGGGTCAGCCGAATCAGGAACCGAAGCTGGGGGCTGATGGATCTTGTCCTTTCTTTGCGGCGCGAAGTTTCAACTCTCCCTCGGTCCCAGGGTGTGGTCCTCTGCTGATCTTCTGTCTGCGCCCTTTCG